AGTTACAATTTCTTTACGTATTCTTAATACCAACGTCGATTTAACGGATGCTTGAAGTTTGTCTTCCACATATCGTTTGTGGCCAGACAGAAAATAACTTGTAGATCAGTAAGTTCATTAGATATAGGGGCAGAATTAGGCCATCCGGCCCATCGAAGTCTGCTCCACCATTCGATCGTGGCTGATATGCTCCTCACCCCCATTTTCCTGCCTTTCTGCCATAACTCTTCAGCCCATACCAGTTAAAAAATCTGTCTAACTCCTCCTTAAATTTATTCACTGTCCCAGCATCCACCTTACTTTGGGGTAACGAATTCCACAGGTTCACAACCCTTTCAGAGAGGTAGTTTCTCCTCAACGGTTTTAAATTTGCTACCCCTTATCCTAAGACTATGACCTTTCGTCCGAGAATGACCCACAAGAGGAAGCAGCTGCTCCACATCTATTTTATCTATACCTTTTATCATCTTGGATACCTCAATTTGATCTCCCCTCATTCTTCTAAATTTCAGAGAGTGCAGGCCTAAACTGTTCAATCTCTCTTCATATGACAAACCTCTCATCTCTGGGATCAATTTAGCGAACCTTCTGTGAACTGCCTCCAACGCCAGTACAGCTTTCCTCAAATAAGTGGAGCCAAACTGTTGCCAATACTCCAGGTGCTGTCTCATCAAGGCCTTGTACAGTTGCAACAATACTTCCTTACCTTTATATTCTATTCCTTTAGCTACAAAAGCCAATATTCCATTGGCTTTCTTTATTACGTGCTGTACCTGCATGCTTGTTTTCTGTGATTCATGAACCAGGATACCCAGATCCCTCTGCATAGAGCACCCGAAGTCTCTCCCCATTTAGTCTCTTCCCATTCTTCTGACCAAAATGCACGACCTCACACTTACCCATGTGCCACATTTTGACCCACTCTCCTGACCTATCTATACCCACTTGTAAGGTTCTTATTTCCTCACTGCAATCTAACATCCCGCCTATTTTTGTGTCATACGCAAAAAGTCGTGTATCAATTACACCAGTCCCTGAACGTCTAACACAAGTGCCACCGTCTGAGGTCCAACGAGTCCCAGATATTTGTACTTCATTTCCATTGGGAGACTAAAACACATTGGGCATGAATGTTTTAAGTTAAACAAACTATATCGTTACGCCCACGGGAGCAGTGACCTCACGTCCTGATGCGGTGCAGTGACGGGCTGTTGCCGAAGGTCCCCATCATTGGTGAACACCGATTTTACAAGCAAGTCTCCTTGATCCATCATGAAAATTCTTGTATTCCTCCTCGCGATACAACTGACAGGTGAGCAATGATATTGAATGACGTGTGTTCTCTTCCTTGCCTCGCACAGATTAAAGATATTCGGCTATTTGCAGAAGGAATTTTCGAAATAAAACAGACGGGTGAATGTGTGTCTTTGTGGGAAGGGGGTGAACGATAAATTTTACTTCGATTCATGCATTTAATGCAAATGGAGACTTCAATCGAAGTAGCAATTTTTGTTTTAAAGAAAAGAGACTATGTGCTGATTTCCTCGTACTTCATTGCAAAATTAAAATTGGATCCGCTGACAGCTCAGTGGGTAACGAGTTCCAGCAGCGAAATTCTACGTTTCTAATACTCTGCCCGGAAAATTTGTTGGTAAGTTTTATGTGGGGACGAGTTTTCCCATACCGACTGTGTTCACGATGCCAACGTGAAAGGCAATCTATTTCCATCAAATTTGTAACCACGAATATTAATACGTTCCAGGTTCAGAAAGCCCTATCTCTCCCTCAAACATCCGGCGTAGATTCTGAGATGAATTCACAAGCACAGAAAACTCAGCAGGTCTGGCAGCATCTCTGGAGTTAACATTTTGAGTCTTTTTTTTATTTCTTTGAGTTAGTTGCTTCCATTAGCTGACCCACCAGCCAAACAAAAGAATCCACCACTCTGATGTTAATATGTGCGTGTTTTTGTTTTAACATAGGCACCGCCGCACCGCCTAAATTGAAAAAAGCGTCGGTGAAAAAAGGGGAAAAGTTTGTAAATACTTGCTCAATGGATGCAGACGAGGGAGTTTATTGGTTCCAACAGCCCAGGAATTCCGGCCCGAAGTTCTTGTTGTATGTAACAGGCACGGGTAAAGTGAAAAGTGCGAGCAACCCCGAAAGACACACTGCAGAGAAATCATCCAAAAAAGTGACTCTGACGATCAAGAAGTCTGTGGAAGAAGACGAGGGGAAGTATTACTGTTTCATGGTCAAGAACATGGCCATGATATTTGGGGACATCATTGACCTGGACATTGAAGGTCAGTAAGGTTTAAATGTCATTATTGATCATAACCTCACGGCTAATTCTAATTTAATAAATTGCCCCTTTAATATTTCACCACCCCTGGGTACATTCCGCTGGACGTTTTAATGTTTTGATAGATTAATTCGATTTACGTTCATTTTCTTGCTATAATTGTTTGCAACTATTATTAAATGCATGTCTGTTTTTTTTATTTAATTTGGGTTGGTTAAATCCAGGGGTCAAAACCACACCAGAGCCAACGACCACCCCCACCACGACACAAAAAGTACCGATTACTATGGACAGCAAAGGATCTACTCAATGTCATTCAACTGAAAGAGGTACAAGCCAAGGTGGGTCACACGATCAATGGCACGCGGACATTCAGAGCATTCTTCAGATCTTCTGATTCAAACACTTGAGTCCGGCTAAATGCCAGTTCAAGATCCTCCTGTCGCTTCTTAGAAGCCTGTGGAAGGCAATTTAGACCACTATCATCATCCTTCCCCACAATAATCCGGAACTGCTTCATTGTTTTCTCTATATCGGTGCCCCAAATATTGGTTATCTTTCTAAACAAAAAACAAATAAACTTTTAAAATGCGGACCGCTCCACTTCTCAAACAATGTCTACAACGAAGCATTAATTTCCAGTAATCCCGGGGTGGGGGTGGGGGTTTGGGGAATTACCCAACCGTTCAAAACATTTTTATTCATTTTTGAAACAATTCTTAACATGTGGGTGTCGCTGACCCGTCCCGCGCCTCATTTCCCTGGACCAGGTGGCCGTGAGCTGCTCTCTTCAACCACTTTGTCTTTAGACTAGTGCAAGCTTGTCTTTTCCCTCATCATTCCAGCAACAGTTTGGGGATACCATAAATCATTCGCCCACTCTTTCATTCTCGTCCCAACACTGGCTTTCCGAGTCTGTCTTCATTTTGAGGAGCCCAAGCTTCTCTCCTTCTCAACAGTTGGAGGAGATCCTCACAAAGCCGTTGGCCGGATCGCCGATGGCTCTTGCCACCTTCGCCCGTGGTAACGTCCCTCTCTTTGAGCCAGGAAGGCCCGGGTTCAAGTCCTGCCTGCGCCGGAGAAGTTTGTAATAACATCTCTGAACAGGGTCTGCGCCATTCTTAACCCCAAAGTTAAAAGAAAGCTTTGGTGGAGTGAGGGAGGAGCTGCTCTCTCCCTGCTTCTCTGATGTGTAACTTTACTAGTTCAGTCCCGTAGCCCCTACCCAATGCGTATGAACAGGAACTGAAGAAACTGGCTCAGATGCAAGAGATTTTAATCCTATTTATTCTAAAAGGGTAAACGTTTCCTTACCAAAAGTGGCCAATTATAATTTTAAATTTGTGTAGCGTCCTACTGACAGAAAGGTGATAATCTGTCAGAATCTCCCCTGGTCGCTAACAATTTACTCGAACGGAGAACTTTCATCGAGGAGCTCAAAGCAAGGCGCTGAAGTTCTCGTTAATTCTGGCGGGGCGTTCATTCCAAACCAGTGAAAGCCGGTGCGATTTCAGGGGCTGATAGTGGAAGTATCCCGCTGGTCAGTATCGCCATGAACCCTGTCGCCTGGTCTATGAGAAATGTAGCACCTCGATCGTTCAGAACATGGTCCTAATCTTACTGCAATCACCTTCAAGATCATCAGACCCTGCGCTAGATTTGAGTGTGGGAGCATCGCCACCCCCTTCACACAAAGCTCAAATGTTTTAGGTTGAATCTCTAACGGGACGGACCACGCAGTAATGAGTTTCTCTGTCCAACACTTCACAAAGAACCTAATCCCATTCTAATGGAATTCCTCAATGAATTCCTATCTAACAAGAGGCACAGTTAAAGGTTTAAACACAGCGATTTTGAGTTTAACACTTCTGTTGGAAGGGTATAATTAATTTATTGGGGGAGGGAGGTTAATCCGTATCTAAATGCTGGAAATTTCTGTGCTCCATTGGCAACGCCGGGGTTTCTTAGAGTGAGCGCAAAAAAGTGTGAATTTTATCCCGCAGAATTGCCGGAGGAAATTATCTAAATTTCTGGAACTGGAGAAGGGGCTCTGTTTGAAGCCGAGAACAGTATCAAAACAAGTGTTTCTGGTATATGCCCCACTTTTAATATCCTGTATTGTCGGGTTTCTAAATGTGCATATTTAGACCCTGTCTTCCTGGGAATCAGTAATTTTCAATGTTAAATTCAATCATTCTCTCCAAATTAATATTTTATTTATCGAAATTTTAATTCTCTCGCTGAATCTTCGGCGCATTTGCTCTGGCATTCACGTAACAAGGCCTTTTTTCTGTGTTTACCTAAGTTCCCTGTTTTGTTCATTTCAGAGAAAACAGAAGATCCATTGAGCTGCCACTTCCTCATCTGGGCTCCTCTGACTGGCGCTGCCGCTCTGTTGATCATCGCACTGACCTATGTCTCCATCGTTTATTGCAGAAGTACGCATTCTTCTCGTTTCAGAAAAAAAATGCCCAACTTAACATTGTATCTATTTAATTCAAGCTGGTTGAAATGCGCGCCTACTAAGCTGTATCTGTTTTCCAGGACCCCGCCGGAGACGCTGTCAGCATCAATTTAGAAAGAGGTCGGTATTACGTTTGGTTCGTTCACAATAAAAAAGACAATCGGGTTTGAAACGGTAGAGAGTCGCTTTGATGTAACACCTTGCCACATCTCTTAAGAGGAAGCATAGCGGCTGTTAAATAGACAAGTTGGCTGGGGGTGGGAATGGCTGTGCAAGGAATTCCATCTCTGTGAAAGCATTGAGTGACATTCTTTAATTAGCTCAAACCGGTAAAGAATTCTATAACGTGCTGTGTCTTGGTGAGGGACCAAAGCTGACGGGCCTTAAGTTTTGGAAACAATAAAAAAAGGGAAGATGCAGATAACACACACAAACTAAGAATGTGATGGCACAGGAGGAGATCATTCAGCCCATTGAGACTCCAACAGCTCTTTGAAGTCCAATTCACTTGATTTGCAAGGTGATTGGCAGCCAACCCACCATCTTAAACATTCATTCTCAGAACCACAGAAGTCCATCCTCAAAAGATGCAATGTGGCAGCACTATATATCACCAACAGGATTCACTGAAGCAACTCACTACAGATTCAACGGTACAATTTGAACCAACAATTCTTACCACAGAGAAGATCAAGGGCAGCTGAAACATGGTAACACCAACACCCATAAATTTCCCTCTAAGTCTCACACCATCCTGAGTTATAAATAGGTTTCATTTGAACTGCCTCTCGGAGGGTCCACACATGCTGATCAGCAGGATGATATTATTGACTTCTGATTCCAGAAGGCCCTAACATGCAGGGACCTCAGAAGCCTTCATGTGGTGGGGTTGACATTCGTTCATCAGTGCTGAATCCAAATGCTGGAAATCCGTACCTAAAACTACCTTTGGAGTCCTTCCACATTGTAGCAGTAGTTTAAGAAAGCAGCTCATTGGCACCTTCTGAAAGCAATTGGGACAGGCATTAAATTCTAGCACACTGAGGAATGCCTACGTCTCATTAATTAATAAACACATTTCAAATTAAAATTGATTCAAATGAAAAATATCTGATGTGAGATCATTGACTTGAATGTTAACTGTAGTCTGGGCAGTTGTACATGACATTTAAATTCTTCTCTACATCCTTTACTGCACATTCTGTGTCCTCTAGTCATTCCATTCAACTATAATTACCAATGTCCATACTAGTGGGCTGTGAATAAGATTATCTGGAGATCTTGATCAACTGGGCCAGTGGGATGCGAAATGGCAGATGGAGTTTAATTTAGATAAATGCAAGATGTTGCATTTTTGTGCGTCCAACCAGGGCAGGACTTACACAGTCAATGGTAAAGCCCTAGAGAGCATTATAGAAGAGTTTAGGGTTACAAGTTCATAACTCCTTGAAAGTGATGCCACAATTAGACAGGGTGGTGAAGATGGCTTTTGGCATGCTTGTTTTCGTAGGTCGAAGTAGTGAGTATAAGAGTTGGGCCGTCTTGTTGCAGCTGTACAAGATTTTGATGAGGCTACATTTGGAGTGTTGCGTGCCATCTGGTTGCCCTACTATAGAACGGATATTAATAAACTGGAAAGAGTGCAGAAAAGATTTACTGATTGCTATCTGGATTTGAAGTTTTGAATTATAAGGAGAGGTTGGGCGGGGGGACATTTTTCCCTGGAGCATAAGAGACTGAAGGGTGACCATGTAGAGGTGTATAAAATCATGAGAGGCATAGATATGGTAGATATCTGACAGCTCTTACGCATTGTAGGGGAGTCTGAAATCAGAGGGTATAGGTTTAAGGTGAGAAGGGAGAGATACTAAAGGGTCCAGAAGTGCAATATTTTCACACAGAGGGTGGTGAGTGTCGGGAATGGGCTGCCAGAGCTAGTGGCAGAAGCCAGTACAATTTGTCATTTAAGAAACCTTTAGATAGGTACATGGATGGTATTGTATGGAGGCATATGGACCAAACTCAGGCAAATGGGACTAGTGAAAACTGGGTGGCATGGGCAAGTTGGGCCGAAGGGGCTGTTTCAATCTTGCACAATCTTGCAATCTTGCCTGTTGAATCTTGCCAGATATTGACTGAATTGTTGATTATTTCCAGTATTTCCTGTTTTGATTACAGAGAATATCTTTCTTGTTTTCAGTTTTGAAAGTTCTCCTACATTGTTTTAGAAATGAATTTTATAAATAGTTTCAAATATCCTGTTTTTAAGAAAAGCCTCAACTCGTGCAAGGTGAAGAAGCATATTTTAGAACAATTAATAATACCCAAGAAGACTTTTAACAGAGGGGAAAAAACATTAACAGAAAGATTGTAAATTCTCTTTCTAGGCTTTACACAAATGGTTTTGCTACAAAAACAGGGAAATATTAAAACATTGATTAGTTTAGAGTTTAGAGTCTCTGTTTTGGTATTGAGCAGACTCACCGAGAGGATGCAAATTTAGAAGGCAACAGTTACGAAGAAAGATTTTGAGGAAGCTTGTAAAGCCAATTAAGGAAGTAGCAAAGTAAAGAGATTTAGGACCTAGTCAGCTAAATGCCCTTAATCCAAGTAAAAATGCATAGGCAGGGAAATATGCAAGAGCCCAATGTCAGAGGTTATTAGGATGTAAAATAAGTGCAGAACTGAAGTGATCACAAAGGTTCTATAGGAAATTTTAAAATGATGCCATGGATTTTGAATTCAGTGAATTGATAGATAGAGGTGATGGAGGTAGCAAGGACAGAACTGATAAATGAATGGGACTTAGTGTGGAACAGATTGTGGGTGACAGAGTGTTTAAATTCTTAACTGGATACAGCAGGATATACATCAGTTGGAAGTATGGGCAGAAAAAATGGCAGATGGCGATTAATCCAGACAAATGTGAGGTGGTGTGAGGAGATGATGGAGGTCAAGTACAGGTGGAACTTATACAGTGGATGGCAGAACCCTTAGGAGTATTAATATGCAGAGAGATCTGAGTGTGCACGTCCACAGATCACTAAGAGTGACAGTGCAGGTAAATAAGATAGTAAAAAAGGTTGATGGCATGCTTGCCTTCATTGGAAGGGGCATTGAGTATAAGGATGGACAAGTTATGCTGCAGCTTTATAGAACTTTGGTTAGGCCACACTTGGAATATTGTGTACAGTTCTGGTCACCACACTACCAGAAGGATGTGGATGCTTTGGAGAGGGTACACCAAAGATTTACCAGGACATTGCCTGGTATAGGTGATTTTAACTATGCGGAAAAGTTGGATAGATTGGGTTTGTTTTGACTGGAATGCAGGAGATTGAGGGGCAACCTAATAGAAGTTTATAAAATTTTATATAAAATTGTGAATGGCATGGATTGGGTGGAAAGTATAAGGCTTTATCCCAGCATGAAGTGGTCAATTACTAGGGGATACAGGTTCAAGGTGCGAAGGGGGGATGTTTAAAAGAGATGTGCGAGGCACGTTTTTCACACAAAGTGTGGTGAGTGCCTGGAATGTATTGCCAGAGGAGGTGGTGGAAGCAAACACAATAGCAGCATCCAAGAAGCACTTGGATGAATACACGAACAGGAAAGGAATAGAGGGATACAGATCCTTAAGTGAAGACAGTTTTAGCACGGAAGGGCAAAATGTGTCAGCGCAGGTTTGGAGGGCCAAAGTGCCTGTTCCTGTGCTGTATTGTTCTTTGTTCTTTGGATCCAATAAGGTTAAGAGAGAACATAATAGTATTTTTTTTAATTTTATAAATACTTAAAAGGAACTAAGATAGAAAAAAGTGGATTTAGTGGTGGTGAATGATTAATATGGAAATATAGAGTCAGGATAATGACTAACATAGGAATATACTGTAGAGTCAGGATTCACAAGACCAAAAAGAATGCACAGAAAATGAAAAACATTTAGTTCATCAATCATTACACAAGCCCTATTCAATCTAACTCATCTAATCTTTGGAGGGAAAGTGTTACATACTGCTGTCTATTCCAAGGGTAATCAAATGAAACTCCAAAATATCTATACTCTCAACTCATTGTTCAACTCTTGCCAACTGCTTTCCACAACCAAACTAAATCACCTTCCCTTTATCCAGCCTCAAGGGTAAAATATTATGTTTCTTGAGCTCTCTGATGTTCTCTGTTGTGCAGCAATAAATACTGTTTGCAATCATATACTTATTCAAACTTTTTTTTGCAGTGTTTAACATTTCATTCTTTCTGTGTTAGAAATGTTGATGGTAGACTATCAGATATTTAGATTAAGTTTCTATCATGGCACATAGGAATCCTGAAGCTCAATTCCTTTGTTAAGCTTATATGCCACTGTTAAACGGAAGTAACAAGGCTTGAGCAGTGCACTAAAGAATAGCTTGACAGAGACCAAAGACATCTGTGGCCCATTAATAAGTTTAAGTTTAGTTTTTAGTGTATTTGTTCTAGTTGTTTTGTATTAAGTAAACAGAAAATATTCATTTCAATGCATTGATGCACTATTCCTATTTAAAATACATGAAATAAGTCAGTCGCTAATTTCATCAAACAAATTTTCTGTATCTAACTATAAATCACAACTGTTTTACAATTTAGCCACTTGTTTTGCAGGCAGGGGACATTTCAAAGTCCAACATCAATTTTAACATCATAATGTATTCAAGAAAAAGAATTGCTGCTTCTTACAATAACATACTTCTTATTTCATTATAGACCAATAGCTGAAGAAGATAGACCATCAAACAGATATCTTTAACAAGTAAGTACAGTACTTCAGTGAAGGAAAAAACCAAGTTACTATGGCACAAGTTATGTTCTTAGTATTGCATAGATGTACCACCAGTGCAGCAATATATGTCAAGTTTTGTGATTACTTAAACATGAGTCATATAGGCTCTGTATACCCTTTTAACAACTTTAATTGTAAAGTAATCTTAACACCATAAAATATCACAAGGCTGTTCACTGATACTTAACTAATTAAGTGATCAAATGTTTAGTATTAAAGATAGATTTTGAGGAAATTTCTAAGGCTGAGTAAGGGAAGGAGCAAGGCAAAGACATTTGGAGTGGGAGTTCCTGAGATGGGACCTAGACAACTAAATCTCTGATGTCAGGTAAGAAGAGCCCAAGGATGCTAAATAAATATAGAGCTGAAAGTGACCGCAAAAGTTCTGCAGTAAATTTCAAAATGAGGTTGAGAATTTTGAATTCAATGCATTGAAAGATAGAGTTGATTGAGGTCAACAAGGACAGTGTTGATGAATGAGTGGGACTTAATGCAGAACAGGTAGTGGTTTGCAAAGTGTTAGACAAGTTGGAGTTCAGTATAGAAAGCAGTCCAGAATATTAAAAAGGATTATGTTTGTGAAGTCAATCTGTCAAGGTATAAAAATATATTTAAATTTCAAAGTCCTTGAGATTTATTGGAAATTGATGTATTTAGAATAGGATGTTGTATGCTGTTTTACTGATAAATGGGAAGAAGTTGAGCTCAGGTTGCAGTAGGACAATAAGGTTTCACTGTTGATTTCAACTTAAGTAAATAGCCAGGTAGATGATCAAAGTCAGGAGATTTTACATAGGATCCCAAGAAGATTCCCCTTTCCCAGCATTAACTGTTCCAAATGCCCCAAGAAATGGACGGTACTCCTGTTATCTGAATCTTCCCTTCCAATAAGCTTTGAACTCAATTTGTGGCCTTCCCAAATTCCATATTTTTTAATCTTCTTACAGAGTCCCTTTTTTTATTCTTGGGAATAGGATGTAGGCATCACTGGCAAGGCTGATGTTTATTGTCCATTTCTAGTTGCCCTTGAGCTGATCGTCCTTCCTGGCCACTTAAGAGGGCAGTTAGCAGTCAACAACATTTTGTTGGCCTGGAGTCACATGTTGGACAGGTTGAATAAGGATGGCAGATTTCCTTCCCTGAAGGAAGGACATCAGTGAACCAGATGGTTTTTATGGAAATCAATAATGGGTTTTTTTTAGTTCCATATTTTATTTAATTCAAATTTTATCAATGATAGAATTCAAATCCATATGTGCAGAACATAAGTCTAGGGCTCTGGATTACTAGAACAGTGATAACACCCTTATGCCATTACCCGCCCTCATCCTATGTGCTACTTTGTCAAAAGATTTCTGGAAGTCCATGTACATCGCAGAATATTTCCATGTATTTCCCCATTATGTCATAATTGTCACCTCCTCAAAGAACTCTATCAGATTTATCAAGCATAATCTTTTATCTGAAATCTATGTTGGCTGTTTGTAATTATGTTTTCTTCATGAAATAATTTAGCCATTTAATAATCTTTATTAAAAGATTTTATTTTGAAAATGCTGTCAATCACAGATACTAACAACTTTTTTGAAATTAGCCAGCAGACATAGGCACAATATAAGGGAGGAAATTCCAGGATTTTGACCCAGACACAGTGAGGAATGGCAACATAGTCAAGTCATTATGTGACTTGGAGGGAGCTTGTACATGATGGTGTTTCTGTGCATCTGCTGCCCTTATTCTTCTACATGATAGAGATCTCCATTTAGGAAAGAGTTGTTGAAGCAGCCTTAGTGCATTGCAGAAAATGGCACTTTGTGCGAGTACTGAAAGTAGTGAAAGTTTTAAGGTGGTGAATGTAATGCTATTCAAAGAGGTTGCTTGGTCCTGGAAGGTGTTGAGCTTTTTGCATGTTGTTGGAACTGCACTGATCTAGGCAAGTGGATAGTATTACATTACACTCCTGACTTCTGTTCTGTAGGTAGTGGTATGCTTTGGGGAATCAGATGTTGAGTTACTTACCAGCATTCCCTACCTCTGATTTGCTTTTATAGTCATGGTGTTTATATGGTTTGTCCAGTTAAAGTTCTGGTTAATGATAACACTCAGAATGTAAACAATGGGAGATTGTGTGATGGCAATGCTATTGAATGTCAAGAAAGATAATTAGACTCTCATGTCAATGACACCTTTTGTTACTTTGTTGATTATTGAGAGCAGGTAGTTATTTGCTGGTTTGGATTTTTCCTGTTTTTTGTAGACAGAATGTAGCTGTGTGATTTTCCACATTCCACAGTGTTATAGTTGTACTGGAGGAGCATAGCTAGGGAATGCATCTAGCCTGGAGCACAGGTCTTCAGTATTTCTCCTGGATATTGTCAGGACCAATAACAATTTTAGTATCAGTGTCTTCAGCCATTTCACATTATAGAGTCATAGAGATACACAGCACGGGAACAGACCCTTCAGTCCAACTTCATGCCAACCGGATATCCTAAATAAATCTAGTCCCATTTGCCAACATTCGGCCCAAATCCCTTGAAACCTTCCTATTCAGGTACTCATCTAGATGCCTTTTAAATGTTGTAATTGTACCAGCCTCCACCACTTCCTCTGGCACTTCATTCCATACACCATCTCTGCATGAAAATGTTGAATTTCGCTGTTTGTTTATTTTTCTTAGAACAAACTCCAATGTCCAGAGATACTTGGAACCAAACAGCAAAGGCAGTAGCTGTGCAGATTCACTGCTGGGTCAGACAGCAGTGCAGGTTTCTTTCTCCATTTGAATCACTTCCCATGTGGTCTCTACCTTTTTCTATCTTCCTCCTTTTTAAAGGGCCATTGTTTTGATTTTTTTCCCAAAAGTTCCAAAATAATGCAACACCTTACTGTACTAGTAACTACTGCTCCTAGAATTTGAGGAAATCAGCTCCAACACTGAAAATACTTCAAACAAGGAGCAGCTCTTACAGCCAGAAATTTTTCCCGTCCTCTACTTTACCCAGAGTTGTCACGTAGAATTAATTGAATTAGATGAAGATCTAATTTTGCAGATCTCAAAGAGATCAAAATGGATCATTCTTTTGCACTTTTGGCTGAAGATATTTGCAAATGTTTCAACCCTGTTTTTTGCACCAATGTGTTGGTCTCTCTTGTTGTTGAGGATGGGGGTAGTTATGGAGACCCTGCCCCCACTTAATTCTCCACCACCATTCACAACTTAATGTCACAGAACTGAAGAGTTCAATCTGATCTGTTGATCACTCTATCTATAACACGCTGCTTCAGCTATTTAGCATGCTATACAATAGTCCTGTGTCGTAGTGTCACCAGGCTGGTATCGTTTTTTTAAATATACCTAATGTTGCTCCTTACATGCTTTCCTATAGTCCTCTTTGAACTAAAATTTGTCCCTTGGCTTGATGGAATGGTACACTAAGGGATTTGCTGGGCTTTGAGGGTACCAATCTGTTCAAGTACAATTGTGCTGCTGTTACTTCATGATGATGATGATGACAATGATGTAAGAGTCGCAGGGAGACTTAGTTTCATTTACCTGACATTTTTTGAATCTATCACACTTAGCACAGTGGTAATGACAAACAGCATAATGGAGGTATCCCTCAATGGGAAGGCAGGACGTGGTCTTCTCAAGGATCATACATTGTTTACTCTTACCAATGAACTTACCAGCCATGATTGAATGTGGAGCAGATTCAATGGGCTAAATGGCCCAATTCTGTTCCTATATCTTATAGCCTTACGGACGTACAGATGCTCCTGCAGTTGTAGGTTGGTGAGGCTAAAGTCAAGTATATTTCACCACTTCTGGTTGGTCTGGGCTGTTGGGGGACCCACATATTCAGGGACAACTGGACTCAGTAGGTATGTTATATCGGATTGATGGTTGGCCACGACGTGGGACTGCTGTCTAAATTGAATGATTGATTTGATTTATTGTCACATTATTTTATCACAGGTACATTGAAAAGTGTTAAATTTTGCGTGAAAAAGTGAAAGATTAAAAGTGAAATGTTTTGGCATAAGCTCCAGATGCTAGTGAAAAAAGTGCTGCAAGGTGAATTGGGCAGGCTGTATCTTTGTCATTCACAGTGCCCAGGTAGATTATCAGCCTTCTATCCAATTGTGTTTCTTCTTCCACTTCTACACAGTGGCTTGATACATAACACCTTGCCAGGCCTTTCAGAAAGCAGATAAGTGTCACAAGTAGACCGGACTGTGTAAGGATGGCAGATTTCCTTCTGTGAAGGATATTAATGAATCAGATCAATTTCTAAACAACCCCATAACTCCCATGATCATTGTTACTAAGACTAGCTTTTTATTGGAATTTTATGGATGAATTGAATTAACATTCCCTGGATCATTAATTGAGGTACCTTGATTAGCCATCCAGTAAATTGATGTGACCTTCCTACGTGCATATGAAAAGCTACCAACCATTTAACCGAAGTATCATTTTGCAGGGGAGACTTTGTGTAAACTGAGCTGCTCTCGAAGTTGCAGGCACAGTTTGTCTTTAATCCTCCTCAGAGTTAGGAGGGTTGGAGGCTCATGGTCTGGTTCACGCTACTGTGCCTGGGACATGGGTTTCTTGGCTCACTTTGTTATTGCATGAACACATTGACAAAATTTTGACATCTTTCCCTGCTTCAGGTTCATTCTGGAAAACGTGTGCGATTCATCCATGGATCATTGAACCTTCTGCGAGATAAATGATGTGGCGTAGGAGTGACTGAGGCCTTCAGCGTGTCCTTATATTTTGCACAATGGCCATTCCAATTGCCCCTTTCATCGTTTGAAACATTGCCGTAGCTGACCGAAGCCAATACGTGACACGCACTGAGTTTTGGGAAGAAAGTGGCAACTGTTCTAAATGTAAACTTGTCCTTTTCTTATATCTGTGTTTGACAACAATTCCGCCCTTGAGGAAGAAGCTGTAGTTTTACACTGTACCTTTTTTGATATCTTTCCCAAATGCCTGGTCAAAATGCGGAGTGCCACTTGGAGGGTGAAAGCTGCACTCTCTCTCTGTATCCTGGTGATCTAGCACTGCCAAGGCAGTCTGTTTCATACCAAGGAACAGAATGGCTGGACATGGGGAGTACAGCTCTACTGTAAAGGAGGAACCTTAATGTTCAATTTAAACTCCTTCCAATCTGACTGTTCCTGCTGTCGTCACAGCCTCCAGAATGAAACAGATACCAATCCCAAGGAGGGTTTTTTTCAATATTACTTATTCACAGGATGTGGGCATGTCTTGTCCAGAGGGCAGTTAAAAATCAACCACATTGTGTGCGTCTAGAATCACATGTAGATAACACAGTGTGGAGCTGGAAGAACAGGGCAGGCCAGGCAGCATCAGAGGAGCAGGAAAGTTGACGTTTTGGCTCGGGACCCTTCTTCAGAACCGGCCCGAAACATCAACTTTCCTGCTCTCCTGATGCGTACCTCCAGCTCCACACTGTGTTATCTCTGACTCCAGCATCTGCAGTTCTTGCTATCTCTGGAGTCACATGTAGGCCAGACCAGGTAAGGATGGCATTTTCCTTCCCTAAAAGAATCAGGTGGGGGTTTTCCTGACGGTTAACAATGGGTTTAGTGGTTATCATTAGACACTTAAATTCCAGGAATTTTACTGAATTCCAATTACACCATCAGCCATCGTGGGATTCGAACCCTTCCCCCAGGTTAATTAGCTGAGATTAGTAGGCTAGCGATGATACCTCTGGACCCTTGCCATATCCTGGGATTGGGATTTCAAAAACCCCGTTTATGGGCCAAGGTTAAGTCTTTCAGTCCTTCTGCACACAGCCGTGTCATTAGAGAGAATCTTCAGAGAGAATTTGCTACAAGGAACTGTGTAGAACAAAGAAATTCAGTCCGAATGATTTAAGATTAACCACCGATTGTTTACAAGCAACACGCTCTCCAATATTGGAACTTCCGCATTCTGTCCGAGCATACACGAAGATTTGTGAATTATTTGACTACTTTTTACATTTTTTTGTGCTGGAACGTTTAACCTGAGAAATCTTATCTTTATTTCCTGTATTCCTTTCTCTCGGTGCCTGTAGAGTTTGGACTATTTTGTTAACCTGAAGTGAGCTGAATGGAGCTTTTTTTGGGGTGTGATATTAAACATTGCAGTCAACAACACCCTCGCTCTGGCTCGTTTTTGTGTCGCTTCAGAAACCGCAGCAGGTGAGTGGCCGCCTCCCTGAGCACATTCTCGCAGATAGATGCTTTAGTTCCTGCAGAGACATAGACGTAACCAATCTGGTCAAACAAGACTGTCGTTCCTTCGAGCAAGTTATGTGGCGGGGCAGGGCGAGACTCGGGTTTAACAACATACCCACACCGTCCCTGCTCACCTTACACAGACCGGAACGAACACTCCCATCTGAGATCTGATCTTCCGAGCGATTCTCGGTCTCATCCCTTTTGTTGCATCTTAACTCAAAAATAAACTAAAAATCCATCAACTGCAGGGTTGGTGTTGCAGTGAGATACGAGCTTGCCTGGGGTTTACCTGCTGAGTGAGGGAGCCCAATATTGCAACTTCTCCACTTTTGATCTCGAAGGTGGTTGAGTTAGCAGAATCCTTTGTCTCTAAAGACGCGCACACACACACACACAAATGACAGTGAGGCAGATCCAACTCAAAACATTCTATTCCAAATGCAAATATTAAAACAATACCCTAGAAGCGAGTGGGATGGTGATGACCATCACAGACACTATGTGAAATCATTGTTGAAATCATATCAAAATCGATATCTATTTCAAGCCCACCCACTCCCACAGCTACCGAGACTACACCTCCTGTCACCCACCTTCTTGCAAGAATGCGATCCCCAATTCCCAATTCCTACACCTCGACTGCATCTGCTCCCAGGATGGGGCATTCCGCTCCCTAACATCCCAGATATCCTCTTATTTCAAGGACCGCAACATCCCCCCTTCTGTGGTCAAAAATGCTCTTGACCGGATCTCTTGTGTTTCCCGCACCTCTGCCCTCACATCACCTCCCTGCAACAAAAACAAAGACAGAATCCCCCTTGTCCTCACATATCACCCCACTAACCTTCGGATTCAATGTATTATTCTCCGTCACTTCCGTCACCTGCAATCTGACCCCACAACCAAGGATATATTTTCATCCCCATCCCTATCTGCCATCCGTAGGGACCACTCTCTCCATGACTCCCTCATCCACCTCACACTCTCCACTAACCCCACCACCCGCGGCACCTTTACCTGCAACCGCAGGAAGTGCTACACCTGCCCCTATACCTCCCCCTTCACCTCCATCCAAGGAACCAAAAAAACCTTCCACACCAGACAAAGGTTCACCTGCACATCCGCCAATGTGGTCCACTGCATCCGCTGCTCCCGATGTGGCCTCCTCTACGTCGGTGAGACCGAGCAGAGGCTCGGAGACCTCTTTGTAGAGCAACTGCACTCTGTTTGCAACAAATGACAACACCTTCCTGTCGTGAACCGTTTCAAACTCCTCCTCCCACTCCCTGGGCGACATGCCTCCTCCAGTGTCACAATGACACCACCCAGAAACTGGAGGAGCAGCACCTCATATTCCGCCTCAGGAGCCTACAACCCAGTGGTCTCCATGTGGACTTTACCAGTTTCAAAATCTCCCCACCCTGGCCTCATCCCATGACCAACCCTCCCTCTTATCCCCCCCTCCTTGACCTGACACAACCTGTCCATTTTCTCTCCCACCTATCCACCCCTCCCACCTCATTGACTAAACCCCACCACTGCCTACCTGCACTCACCTACCACTCTCTCAATACGTCCTGTCATCCATAAAGCTCAATGACATGAATCCCCTCATTCCCCTATCTGTGACAGCATCAAAAAGTTCAATTAGATTGATTAGCAAGATTTGCTTTTAACAAATACATGCTGGTTCTCACACAAACAGATGACCATGGAGATGGAGTAGGCCATTCAGCCCCTCAACTCTGAGCTAGAGAGTTTCAGTTATGAGGAGAGATTGGACAGACTGGGGTTAAGCAAAGAGATTGAGAGGGGAACATGACTGAGATGCATAAAATTATGAGAGGCATAGATATGGTAGGCAGGAAGAAACTTTTCCCCTTGATGGAAGGATCGATGACTGGGGGGTGTAGATTTAAGGTGAAGGGTTGGTGGTTTCGAGATGTGAGGAAAAACCTTTTCGCCCTGAGGGTGGTGGGAATATTGAACTCACTGCTTGTAAAAGAGGTAGAAGCAGAAATCGTCATAATATTTAAAATGCATTTACACATGCACTTGCAATGCCGAGGCATACAAGACTAAAGGCCATGTGCTGGAAAATGGGACTAGAATAGTTGGGTGGTTGTTTTTGACTGGTGCAGACATGATGGACCAAAGGGCCTTCTTCTGCGTTGCAAATCTTTATGACTCTATAAGTCTGATTAGCTTTTTGGCTGTTTTGATTGTTACCTCAGACCTACATTCCTACCTGCCCCTGAAAACCTTCCTTACCAAGAATCTATCCAACTCTGCGTTAAAAATATGCAAACGCTCTGCTTTCAGGAAGAGAGTTCCAAAGACTCTCACAACCCTCTGAGAAAGAAAATTTAATCATTGTGAAGTTTTGGAGTAAGGGAAGTAAGGGACGACATACTGGCATTGGGATAGTCCAGAGAAGGTTCACTAGAGTGGATTCTGGGTTTAAAAGGATTTTCTTATGAGGAGGGCTGATTAGGGTGGGCTTGTACTCAATGGAGTTTAGAAAATAGTAACAAAATTCATAGGGATGTTGACAGGGTAGATGCAGAAAAGTTGTTTCCCCTTGCAGGAGAGTCTAAGACCAGAGAGAATAATCTCAGAATAAGGGGTCACTGATTCAAGATTGAAATGAGAGGAATTTCTCTCAGAGAATAGTCAATCTTTGGAATTCTTCACTGCAGATGGCTGTTAAGTATATTCAAAGCTTCAGATATACAGATTTTTAATCAGTAACGGAATCAAGGGTTATGGCATAGAAAGGAAAGTAGAGTTATAAAGAGTATCAGGTCAGCCATGTTTCATTGAATGCAGAGCAGATTTGATGTGTGTGTCTTATAGTCTCATCTCTTTAAAAGGGCAACCCATGATTTTTAAACAGTGACACCTTAGTTCTAGATTATCCCATAAGAGAAAACATCCGCCCAACATCCATCCTGCCAAGACACCTCGGGATTTCACAGGCTTCAATAAAGTTGCCTCTTACCTTCTGAACTCCAACTTTTCCTCATAAAGCAATTTGTCCATTCCAGGTATTAGCCTGGTAACCTTCTCTGAACTACTTCCAACACATTTACATCCTTCCTTAAATAAGGTGACCAATACTGTGCAAAGTACTCCATCTGTAGTCTCACTAGAACCCTGTATAATTTAGCATAACTTTCCTACTCATGTTTTCAATTCCCTCATAATAAACAATAACACTCCATTAGTTTTCTTAATTACTTGCTATGCCTGCAAACTAGCCTTTTGTGACTCATGCATGACGACATCTAGATCAGTCTGCATCTCAGAGTTCTGCACTCTCTCACCATTTATATAATATGTTTCTTTCTTAATCTTCTTGCCAAAATGAATAATTTCACATTTTCCAATTTACATTCCATTTTCCAGATTTTTGCCCGTGCAACTAATTTACTTTTCTATCTAACTTTGTGTCATCAGCAAATTTCAATGATGTCTTCCATCCCTTCATTTAAATTATTTATGTAAATTTAAGCAGTCAAAGCTGGTCACTGCTACACATCACTGGGTAACGGTGACTCTAAATGATGGCTACATGCTGGTTCCATCCTGGCTCACCTTACTTATATTAAACCTCTTCAAATGACTTTTGATTTTTTCCTGGATTACTGATTCTAAAACTTTACCAACTACTGACATTAAACTAAAAGGCCTGTATTCGTCACACCCTTTCTTAAATAAGGATGTCACTGCTTGAGGTTCTCCAATCCTCTGCTGACTCCTCCCTTTCTGAGGAAAATAGGAAGATTATGGCAAGCCCTTCCACTAGCTCCAGTTCCAAGGTTTTAGGGTTTGCTTTCCATGAACTTAATGTTTTACCCTCATTAGCATAAAATATTTTAGATCAGATTCAGTGATAGCTTCAACCTTTGATTCCTTTACTTTCACCTTTTGAATTATTTTCATCATCTCAGCTGTATCTCTTGACCAATGTCATTTTAGACCGCGCCTCACAGGTGGACCCTACATTTCATGTACTTTTAGCTTGCAGAAATTTCTATTAAAAATTGTAACATATTCATTTAAACAACCCATCTGGTCCTGGTGCTTTCCCTCATTCTAAACTCCACAGTTTGAATACAATCAATTCAATGAATACAGTACTCAAGCCCTGGAGCAGATTTAATTCCTGCAGAAATTAAAAAGCACAGCAGAGATACACAGTCCTGAAGAAGGGTCACTCAACCCAACGTTAACTCAACGTTAACTCTGATTTCTCTCCACAGATGCTGCCAGATTGTTTCTGAGCAGAGATATATGCCTGGCATTGCCGCACAACCTCAAATCCATCACCTGGGAAAGGTGATCTTGGGGACACTGTGATTATAGCCACATTCAAGAAGGGAGACAAGTTCAATTGCATTTACTACAAAAGAATTTCTCTGCTGTCTTTGCCATGGGGAACCTTCTTACCCCCTCATCCCAGTGGCCGATGAACATGTTCCAGAGTCACAATGCAGTTTTCACCCATCGAGAGGCACCACAGACTTCACTACATGGCAAATTCAGGAGAGATACCAGGATCAGCGCCACCTGTATGAGGCCTTGTTCAATCTCACAAAAGATGTTGACTCTGACAATCTTGGATGCTTATAGAGTGCCCTCCTCAAGTTTGGCTGTCCTCAGAAATTTGTCACCATCCTCTGCACAATTACTTCCTCACCAACGAAACAACTGCAGACCGATTGCAGTGCAGACTGGGGTTAAACAAGGCTGTTTAAATTGCACCAACCCTCCACTATTTCCCTCACTGCAGTAAGGCACCTCACCTCCGGCAAATTACCTACTATGGAGATAATGTACAGAACAGACAGGAAACTGCAACCTATACTGCCTTCAATCCAAAACCAAAACCACTGTAACCTTAGATCTTCAAT